ATATGATTCAGTGTGGGATGGTTCGCAGACAATCTAAAAGCAGAAAACGGGTGTAAAAATGAAAGACACCACAATCAAAGCAGCAATCCACTGGCCATAAAAGTGTAAAGTGGACTGAGGCAATAGGCCCTTTACAGGTCTAGCTCACGTCGTACAACATGACCAACAAATCGGCTCTGATGAAAGTGATCAGAATACATGATCTGAAAAAGCACCTCAAATTGTTACTATACAAGTTTGGACATTTTGTGACGTAACGAAAAGGACTTTTTTCCCTGAAATTTCCTTTCAGTTGCATTACAGAAAAGATACTCACACTATTGGGTTGATGGARTCGAGTTTCACTTTATTGATTGCTCACATGCAAGCAGCATTCAACTGCTACGTATAATGCTGCGGTGTTTCCGCTTTTTATCACGTGGCCTATTGTGCAATCTCTTTCATTTATTTTTAGCCGTAATAAAACGAAATGGTTTAATCATTTATTAACCACAAAGAAATGTTTAGCTTTGAGTTAGTTCAAGGCTTCCGGGGCTAAACAGTTTTGCAAAAAAGATGAAGTAGAATCGACGAGGATGGGATTCGAACCCACGCGAGCAGAGCCCATTGGATTAGCAGTCCAACGCCTTAACCACTCGGCCACCTCGTCAACTCTGATTAATAACTTCTAGATTTATATGTTTTTATATTGTTTTCAGGTATCACACAAGGAACCTATCATTTCTTGGTTTGTTTGGCCTTATGGTCTCCTAATGGCAAAATAATAACTCAGCGAAAAGTCAACTAGCCTCAATTTTCGGATCAAGGTTTYGCAAAGCCATATGCTTTTAATTGCTTCTTCCGATGCGTCTCCTGACTATTGTTGTGAGAAACTAAACCATTGAATAAACATCACATCAAATTCGATGATTGCTTGTTTTACTCTCGGTGAGGTGTTTTCCTTCTCCTACAAATATTGACCCTTCTAATGTTGATAGAACAACTTTTCGTTTTGGGTTCCTTACGATCAGGGAGCGAGACATCCGCAAAAACATATTGAATGACACTATGAAATGACAGAACTCGGCGGCACGGTTAGCAAATACTTGGGCCAGTAATTCTCARTCGCATTAAGTTGTTATTTCTTCGCGAAGACTTTGTAGAAAAATGATCAAACAGATAAAAACCCTTCTCTTCCACAGATAACATTCTTATCGGCGTATCATCCAGTGGATTCAGAGAGTTATTCGCATTGACAGGAAATCTTATATTGTCGTTAAAGTGGGATTACATTTTACAGAAGAGAGCCACCTTTGATCTGTATTGCTTATTTTTAACGTTTTTTTACTTTTTCTCTACGTCAAGGGTTTCGCACGTACTTTTTCAATAAACTTGGCATACCATGGTTTTCTTAGATAACTTATGACAAACGGCCGGTCCATCATATGTATCGAGTAAATTCTAGCAGAAAAAAAAAAGCGTTTGCCACTACTAGAACTACATAGAAAGCTTTTCAAACTAGAATTAAAAACAGCAATTATAAATAACTTAACGTAATTAATTGTTTCCAAATGTCCAAAAAATGAAACCTTTTCAGTTTTCCTTGCATGATTCAGAAATGAAAATATTTGCACATCATTGTATGCTGATGAAAAACATTAACTGGCAACATACATTGCCGATTGACTTTGAAACTAAATGCTTTGGATCCAAAAAACAAGTGATAAAAAAGTCCCATGTTTTGATGTTGCATTATGGAACCAATCCGATAGGATTTTTTTTGAAGATAGTCTGGCAAAAAGTGGAGATTCAGATCAGTGATACCCGTGGTATCGGCACACCTTTTCAACCCTTCAAATCCCGAGCTCTATAGTAAATATTTTCTTTCTTCGTACGTTAACGATTCTTCCCATCATGGAATCTCATAGGTATTATATCTAGACATCGATGGAATAGTATCACTGGGTATAAACTACATTACCCAGTTTTCCGGTGATTTCTATTCAATTGGACATGAATTATCACTTGACCCCTCGTGATTATCKAACCTTGGTGGTGCTTCGATGCTTTTATATGGTTTCCTTAAAAATCATTTCTTCAGTTGTACACAATGACAAGGGCTTATAAGTGCTGTAATTATGTTTTATTTCACTGCAGAGTAAAATTAGGCTAAAATGACAGTAATGTTGCCAAGTCCAAAGCGTAGCTATGGGAATAGTACAATGTTTTTGTACGTATCACCTCTTATAAAAAACACGTTTGTGATATACCCCCATGTACATAATATATATTTGAAATTGTCTTTGTTATCAAGAGTTTCTTGATGAAGATATGCTAACTCAATATGAGGGAATTGCAGTCAGTTGACCTAGAACAAGAGACATATGTATACGTATGCTGCGGCAACTACTGTTTTCATTTTGTTGATTTCAAATATGAAGAAGGAAGGAACTGTTCGTGAAATGCAGATATCATAATAATTAACATTTTAAAATTGGTTATCTGCCATATTCTTTTCTTTTTCAAAGTCGGGACCACGAATAGAAATCATGATAGCAGGAGTAAAGAAACATYAAACAGCTGCCACAAGTACTCGATTTAAAACTCACGTTCTTTTCCGTCAAGTCACACAGTTTATTTATGAGAAACCACGAACAGAATGCAACCAGTTGTGGTCAACTAAATCTCATCAATCAATTCATCAACAAGTTTGCATTGGAGACTACTGACTGTTTGTATTTTTACCCTATCTCTTCGTGGCAGAGAGAGGAGTTTGTAGAGGAACTACTGCTGCAGCTCTCACCAGGAGATGGGAAAACGCTACTCAAATCTTTAAAAGTTTGTGAATACTTTGATGAGCATGCAGACATTTCCTCTTGTCCATCTTTGACACCTATCTCTTGCAAGTCCATGTTTCTAAGGACGTTTTGTAAAAATTCAATGTACTTGACAGCACTACGTAGAATTTCAACTTTGGAAAGTTTCTTATCTGGTGGATAAGTAGGAAGAAGCTTGCGCAGTTCTGTGAATGCCATGTTTACATTCTGTTGCCTCCATCTTTCTCGCTTGTTTGTAAACATTCTGGTCTGAAAGCCAAACGTTACGGCAAGTGTGTCGAGTGGCAAGTCTCCGTATTCTGTAGCAAAGTACTTGAAGTGTTCTTTTGGGTTAAATTGCAGGAATTGTGGACAAAACTCCGATCGCTGTTGCTGCTGCATTGGGTTGTAATACCAGCGTACCAAGTCTGAAAATTCACTCATGGTGTCTTGTATCATTTCCCGTTAAACGATTTGCCGTTAGCGAATAAGATCAAGCCAGGCGCGTTCTGCGATTGCGCTTCCTTTAGTCTCGTATTTATCACTCCAATAATCAGCCGTATTAATCCAATTTGGATACTCTATTGTTCTGAGGAAGGACTATTAACACTAGCTAATTAATTGCTCACCACGCGTGAGGTCCTAACTTAGGTCCGCTTCTAGTAGCGTGTCTAGAATACAGCGTTAATTGAACTTGTAGTAAGTAATACAATTCAAAAAAGCAAGACTAAACCAGACGATAAGTTGAATGCTTTTGGCTACACATGTATGGCTACACATGCATGGCCCACAGAAGTTGTCGTGTGTTATACAATGTCCGGTCTTCAACTCATTCCATTTTTCGGCCAAATAAGATAAGATCTAAAATCAATCCATTCGCATAGAATTCAGGTAATTGGTATTCACAGCTTCTCCATTTGTGGGTAAATACACTAATCCAGATGTCTTTCCTCGCCGCTTTAGAAGTTCCYCCAGCAGGCCTCAAGGAAGGAAGTCTTTCATCCAAAAGCAGCAAGCTGGGACTTCTCTATAAATCAACATCACTGCTTACCACATAGGAAGTTCTTACCTTTCCAAATCGCTGTACTAGCGGTAATTTAGATCATCCATTATTACTCTAGGATGTTTTCGTAGCGTCTCGTATGACTAGCCAATGGCGACAAACAACGAAAATAATGGTTTTAACCGTGTCGGTAGTCAGAYGATAGTTAAAAAAAAACGTGCACTTGCTTTCAACCAAGAGGCTGGTAAACGCAGACAAAAGCAGGATGAAATTATACATAGGTTCAAGCAGTCTTGCTCGGAAACCAATGTCCTGCTTATGTTTTCCAAAAGTGGATTTGTAAGCCCATGTGCTGTTCGCTTCAGTCAAATCGAAATACTCGATAGAATGATATGGTGTTGATCGTGTTGTTACACTAAACAAGATGCTATCGGTCAATAGGGCGCCTTGTCAATCACCATCTTACTGTTAATGTATCAAACTAATACTCCTCGTCTCCGCACTTGAAACCCTTTAGTATATATACAAGTCCATTTTATCACCTATATGCGCCAATGTGGTTATCCCCAGTATACTACCAATGCTACCAATACTATATTCCATGTGAAATACAATACGGCAATGCAATGTCTTTCTAAAAAGTCTTTTATTTATTAAAAATAGTTCCTCAATTCTATTGAAGAGGGCCCCCTCGAGAAATTGTCAAGTGGCCGCTGAATAGAGGTTTGCCACTTTCGAAATGTATAAGTATAAAGTACTATGCGAAAATCTTCTAGCTTTTGGACTAAACTTTGACAAGCGGTCGCTAAACTAAAATAGAGGCTGCATTGCCGCTTAACATAGGTATAAGTAAATTGCATTCAAAAAAACATCTTAGGGACTTTGATAACTGGTCGCTGAATTAGAGGTTGGCCGCTTAACAGAGGTATTAAAGTACTCTGCAAAAAAGAAAAGCGCTTTGGGACTTTCACAAATGGTCTCTAAGATAGAGTTCGGGCGCTTAACAGAGGTACAAAAAGTAATTTGAAAAACAAAAACACACACACAAAAAACGAAAACAAAAAAGAAAAAAGAAAACAGAAAAGAAAAGAAAAAAGAAAAGAAAAGAAAAAAGAAAAGAAAAGAAAGAAAGAAAAAAAGAGACGATAAGCATTCTCTTCGGGACTTTGGCAACATGTCTCTAAAATAGAGGTTGGCGGCTTAATATAGTCCTACTGTATTTTACGTTTTTCGGTACGTTTGTGTTAACATGAAGACCATATCCCTATCCCATTATTTTTAAGGGATTAATGATGAGACATTTGAAGAACTGAAATGAATATTCAAATACCCTACAGTTTTGCGAGCAGCATTTGGAATAATGGTAGTTATTGTACGTGCTTCTCAGTTTCATCATAATCAGGTCAACCTTTATGGTGCCCACGTGTACACACTCGTTTCCATTGTTTAACATWACGAAAAGCTAAACCTTATTTCATTACTCATTTTATGCTAGTTCATTTTACTGAATTTATTTGATTCACTTATTTTTATTTGCATCTAAAGTAAGTAGCCATTATAACATCCATCTGTTTGGGAGTGCATGCGAGCAGAAAGGTAGCTAAGTTTATGTTTAAGCATTGCAGCATTATCAGAATGAACTAGACAACATTTTATCAGTTTCCGGGTCGATTTGATAAAATTTACCAAACCATTACGATAAARCACTTCACCAGTGATAGTCAAGTCAAGTGGGTCACTTTCTTCAAGATCAGTTAAACGTTAATAAATCTCGAATCTATTGAACCAATTTTAGTGGGGTCAGCGGAGTTGCTCTTGAGTAGATACGTAAATTTGCTGGATTGGTGTCTGATAAGAGATTCCAAGTATTTTTAGTGTTTTCTACCACTTTCTAGGGGCTTACATGGGTATGAACATTCCTTAAAGTTCGTGCCATTTCTACGGAGATTTCAAGTGCAAAATATGGCAAAATGCATGTGTTTTGCCAATTATCTATYATTCATTAAAACCTCATAGTAGTACCATATGCTCTAGCTTACCCTGGTGAATCATTCATCAGGGTTAAAAATTGAGAAGTCTTATGAATGGGAGCAAAAAGTACATAAAAGAAACCATGAAGGGTCATTGCAGTTTTTGCATAACATTCCAGACAACACAGCACGATAACTAGCTCAGTAATGTTTTCATGATGCCGCGGTATCTAAGTCTCTCTTGCTGCATAAAGACTGGCAAAGAACTAAGCTTTAAAGCCTTCTTTTCTTCCGACATTGACGCACTTAAGTGAATTCAAGGGTTTATAACAGTTAAAAATGCTGCATTATCTACARCTGATTGATAATCATTTCGTATATTCCCGGCATAATACGGGGTGTGTTAACGTATAACGTGCGTGAGAAGGAKCTGTATTGATTCATATTTGTATAGCACTTCGTCGTTTTATCAAAACAACACTTAARCCTCAAAATAACAAGGCGTGTAACTTTGCTATTTCTGATAGTTTGTTTTACCGCCTTCAAAATTCGTTATCTCAAGATGGACTGAACATCGGAATGATGTATTCCATAAGGGTTCATTCGTATCATCCTAAAAGTGAAAGTCAGTCATTCCAAATTCTAGAATCGAATACCTCTACTAAAGGAAATACTTTAGTCAAGACAAAAGGCTAAATTATTTCGAGGATGTGTAGAAATGTACCAGATTGTTAAAAGTGTCTGGCTTGTTTGATTAATGCGCATGCGTCTAGCTAGCTTTTTCAACAATATCAGATTAGAATTAATAAGTCTCGTCGGTTTAGCAAAAACTTCAAAAACTATTTAATTGTGAATCTAAAAGCGTTCTRCTTTGATGTTCCATCAGATAGTGAGTCAACGAAGACATGTTCGATCTGCTATGACTTTTAAAAGGCMATCAATTTCGAAAGAAAAAATGTTTCACATTTCGCCGGTCTAATTTAAGATTAATTCAAAACACATGAGAGAAAATATGAACACGCCAAGAACACACCACATAMTGTAAAGAGGTTATTACACGCGTTCAGGTACCTCAAAACAGTTGTSTAATAGCCAAAGGGCTTCTTGGATTTAATAAAGAAAACTTATCAATAAAGTAGGCAGCGCTTATTCGTAAAGAGTTACCGCGTACGCTGCCGATTGCTCGCATATTGTGTCTGTCATACACTGAGCGCGATAACTCGTAAAATATGATGTTTACTAAGCCGTGTAATAACACACGATAGATTTTTTGAGTTGGTATTTGATAAACATCTCGTCAAAAAATGATGYTTTGACTCTCTTATACACTGAAGGAAGTTCCTTCTGTATATAGTAAAATAACTGTTGTTTGCAAGATGCCTGGTTTCAGTATTTGCATTCTTCGTATCGATTGCTGGGAATGGATACAAGCTGTCCCTTTTCTCACTTGTTTCTAATTTGCCTTATCAAATTGAAGTGTTCACTGACAAATACTTTATGTATGYTGTCCATGTGATATGCTGATCATGATGAACTATTCCGCCCATGATTGGATTTGCCGTTCGCTCATGAACTTTACGCTATTTCATTCCATAAATGATAATTCGTTCATATCTGCGTGTATTTTCAAAGGTATTGAGTATCAATATAATCATTGGGACCGTACCAATGAATGGGTCCGTATTCCAATTGTTCCCTTCACAGTTCTGTGTGCCATCTCGAAAGGTAGCCGTACGTGCCTTTGCATCGAAGCGGTGACACGAACGGTGAGCTTGCAATGATAGAGCTATTGTCTAGTCGCTTCGAGAAAGAAAGAGAACAAACAAAGTTATAATGAACACATTTGAAATTATGATGCAACTCAAGGACTCAAGGGTAATACAGACGGGTAAACCCAAAGCATTTAATCACACGAGATCGCACGATAGCAATTTTAAACGTTCTGTATTCGCGGTTTGCACAGTTCACGTTTTAAATTCCTTAACTGACTACTTGAAAACTAATAGTTCCATCCCGGCCTTGTAGAAAAAAATCCTTAATTCGCTCCTTGGTCAGCAGATAGACTAGAAAATATCAATCATTTACTTGGAGTATGCCATTCCAAAGTTAATGAAAAGAAATGCAAATTAACGTGCTTGATGAAATTCAAATGCAACTACTTTATAATGTTGTTATTCCTGTTTTAAAAAACCAAAGATAGAATCTATAACAAAACTAAAGCGACTTTTAGTCAATGTCACGCAATATCCTTCTGCCGTTTATTCGCAAGACCTCAAAAATGATTCATTAATAATTCCCTTAATATTCTAGAACAAAAACTCTGCGCGCGCACCAATTCCTGCCATAATTATCATATTTGAATTCAAGGAGCTCAGAAAACTTTCAAACCTCATCTGTCATCTTAAAGTACAAGAAAGACGTATAAATTTAGCTCTTCACATAACGCGTCTATTTTGAATCGTTTTACTGACGAATCGACAAACTTGAGTGATTTTCTGCGGTCTAATTATACTCGAAAGATCAGAAGGACAATCATAGCTGAGAAGATGCGACGTGAGATATCATAAAGCTCGTCTTTCTGAAGGATTAATGTCTGATGACTTGGTGAGATAGCCTTTTCTCAATGGCTTTGCTTGGTTGATAATATCAATTGACAGAAGTGTAAGAACCATGGCTTAAACCCGCTAGCGGATTAAAGTTTATCATTTGGCTATAGCTATAGATTAAAGTTTATCGAATGCTCGGATAAAAGCACAAGATTTGGATCTTGAATTGGAAATAAAGTGCTGCGCTAAGGACAACTTGTTGAACAAGTTGCACGCTAGGCTTAAGACAATTTGGTCATAACTGTCAGGGACGGGAGGATGGTCGACTTTCATATCTACTGAGGGCAAAGCATCAGATTTAACATAGCAGATAATACTCATGCTGGCTCGTGGAGCGGCCACGAAAAAGCAGGAATATGCAGCGCAGTTTATTATGGGACAACAGGGATGATTTTGCCATATTACAGTTGTTCTAGTATCTCATGGTATGAATGTATCTACTTTTGATAGAATTAAAAAACTCTTTTTCCTGATTGGAATTTATCGATGAAATTAACATCTATGAAGTCTCATCCTAAAAAAATGAGAGTCGTAGAATTTTGGGGAGAACACACTTGGTTTTTAGACAATAATTGAGGTGGGGGACCAGTATATAATGACAAGTATCAGCAATTGCTAGTGAGATGGGGGTGGGGAAGGGGTCATAAAAAAGATAGTTGCTCTGGGG